TGCTTAAAGGAAAAGGAAAAGGAAAGAGGAGGGGTGGAAATGGAGAAGGAAGGAAGGAGCCATGCTCTCTAGGAAGTATAAATCTTGTCTTGGATGAAGGGACTTAACCAGGCAGAGCTTCTTCAGGCTAAATTTTATTCTCTCTAGAATGTGTTTGTTTTGCCTTTACTCTTGAAGGATATTTTCCTGGATACAGAATTCTACTTTGATTGTATTTTTCTTTAGCACTTAAGAAATGTTGTTCAATTGTTTTCCGGCCTCCGTGGTTTCGGATGAGGTTAATGGTCTTTCAAATTGCTCCTCTAGAAGTAACGGGTCATTTTTCTCTAGCTGCTTTCAGCATTTCCTTTTATTCTTTGGTTTTCAGCAGCTTTGCCTAGGCAGCATTTTGTGTTTATACTGCTTAGGGTTCACTGAGCTTCCTGAAAATGTAAATTTATGTCTCACATCAAGTTTGGGAAAATCTGAAATATTATTTCTCCAAACTCTTGTTATCACTGTCTCAGCCTCTATTCTCCTCATGGGATGCCCACCACACATGTATCAGTCTTCTTTATGTTGTCTGGCAGCAACCTCACTTTGCATTCATTTTTGTTATTAACCTTTCTCTGTGTCCTTCAGAACGGATCATTTCTACTGATCTACCTCCAAGGTCACTGACTTTCCATTTACCCCATTAAGCCCACTGAATAATTGTTTTAATTTGGATATTGTATTTTTCAATTCTAAAATTTCTTTTTAAAAAGTTTCTATTTTTTTTTTGTATTTTCACTCATTACAAACCTAAGTTATAATAAGGTTCTAAATAAAGTTTTAAATTTTTGCCTTGAGTCAAGATGTGGTGGTACACGCCTGCAATCACAGCGTGCTAGAGCCAGAGGCAGGAGGATGTGGTGTAAGACCAGCCTGAGCTACATTGTGAAGCTGTCTCCAAAACAAACAAACAAACAAACAACCCACCCACCTACCCCCACTCAAATCATTTTCCAGTCATCTCAAGTTAGTCTCTGCTGATCTTTCCTCTTGTGAACGGGTTCCGCATTCCTTTTTCTTTTCTTTCCTTCCTCTCTTTCTCTTTCTCTCCTTCCTTCTTCCCTTCCTCCCTTTCCAAATGCCATGTAATTTGGGGGCCTATATCCTGGACATTGTGAAAATTATACGTGAAGACAGTGGATTCTGTTGTAGTCCTCTAACAGTTGCAAGAATTGTTAAAACTTTTGTTTTAGCAACTTTGTTGGAGTAAAACTGCAAATGCTGTCTCCTGAGTGACAGTGGAAATACCTTCAGCTCTGTTACCGGGCTACTCGGGGCCTGCCCCAAGGAAGTGGTTCAGATATCCAATAATGATTGTTTTTGTGTGGGGGCAGTGCCCACCCCCAAGCCCCTCAATGGACTGTGATCTAAAGGTCATTTTTGGTCTACAGGTTTAACTCAGAATGCAGAATGCATTTCTCATACAAACAATTCTCTTACCTTGAATGGTTATATTAACAAACCATTATAGGGTCACTCAACAAATTGCTCCTCAATCCTGCTATGATTTGCTCATTTACACGAGAAAAATGCAGTGTAAATGCTTGTTTTTTCTCCATCATATAACCAGATAACTGGAAAAATAACCTTGGTGTGGGATCACTTCTACAACTAAGTACTACTGAGTACACAAATATGTCAATTACCATTCTCTGCAATTCTGGCATGGGACAGACTTCTCCTTCTCGGTATAATGTAGCAGAGCTGAAAATATTACTCCTGTCGCAAAAAAACCCCAAAAACAAAACCCACAGAAAATAAAAATTGCACCTTTCCATGAAGCTAGCGAAAAGCCTGGAACGCATGGATGTCACGGCGGCCAGTCTGTAAGTGGCCTCTGAGTGGCCTCCCCTCCCCGTGTGGCAACCAAGAGGGCCGACCTGCTGAGCTGTGTAACCAGTAGGACGCACTGAGAGGAGGGGTGGCCTCCGGCTGGGTCACACAAATCAGCAACACATCCTACATTTCCACCTCTCTGGCTCTCTCAGGGTGTTCAGTATTTCTATTACAGTTACTTTGTCAAGTTAAACATGTAAATTATCTTTGTTTTGCCTATCACTCCTAGCACAGTGCTGAGTGGCCAGTTAGTGCTTAATAACTAGTGAATAAAATATAATAAGGAGGAGCTAATTTTGCTGAGATTTCCATGCACATCTAAGATAATTGTGTGAGACTTCTGATCTTTCTTAACATGGTGCATCATTGGTGAGTTGATTTTTAAATGTCTATTATACATTTTATACATCATTGTCTATTCTCCCTCTGAGATATGAGTTTATATATGACACATACACACACACATACACACACACACACACACACACACACACACACACACACGAGTTTGGTTTTTTTTGTGGTACCGGGGATCGAACTAGGGTCCTTGCGCTTGCACAGCAGGCGGCGAAACCACTGAGCTAAATCCCCGGTCCAGACTTTTAACATACTGCCCCACGAGACCCTAAAGCAGTATTCCTTTCGCACTCCTGCTGTCCTAGTTCCCTCAGACCCTGGAGCTGAGCAGGACACTGCAATTGTTCCGGTGAAGCGTGATGCAGTAGACACTGGCTGTGCTTATATTCAGGCCTGTAGCTGAGCTAGAGGTAACATCGCTAGCAGTGGAGAACTGAGTGAGCTGAAGCTTCCAGTTCAGCTTCTCCAGTTGTTTATTGTCTCCGTTGCCCCTGCTAGAGGAGGAGGCCCCGAGGGCCGAGGGCCGCAGTGCACTGCTCTGCCCTTCACTGTAGGGCGGAGACCACACAGAGGCGCTGCGCTGCAAAGGGTCACTGAATAAACAACCGAACCAAACCACGGTTCAGTCTCAAGAAGTGCACTTTCTGGGCCCACGGCTGTTCTTCTCCTTCCTTCGCCCCTTCCCTGGGCTGAGGCAGGAAGCATCACCACTTTGACCTGGTGCGGCAGGTGTCCCTTTTTGGGTATTCAACAGATAGACAGAAGGGCAGGGACCCTTAGCATTACCATGAAAATCCTGAATACATTTTACATAGAAATGTTGAAAAGTATCATTTTTGGAGTACAAAATAGGTTAAATAACTTCATAATGGGCTCGCTTAGGAATGTAATTGAAAACTGCATTCTGAGTTTTGACTTAAACAGTCTACAAATGTCTTTTGGATCAGTCTATCTGCAAGAAGGACTACATACACTCAAAACTACTAATATTAGAAAACTGGTTATTTCATTCTGTCCTAATACTTTTATTACTATTAACAAAATAAGCACTTAATGATAAAAATATAAGCTATTAACTAATACTTTGTATACTTTCCCCTACTATTTATTTCCTCAAAGATTTGGAGCTTTTATAAAATTCACTACAACTGCTACCAGGCACCAACTCAAAGATGAAAAACTATCTTTCCTCTCAGCACAAATGAAACTGTCTGGTAGTCAATAACATCCATATAACAGCCGGGCATGGTGGCGCACGCCTGTAATCCCAGCACTCGGGAGGCAGCAGGATGGCCACGAGTTTGAGGCCAATCTGGGCTACATTAGGAGTTCAAGGCCAGCCCGGCCTGGACTACACAGTGAGACTCTGTCTCAAAAAACAAAACAAAAGCAAAAAATCCATATAGAAACACCAAAGCAGAATGTTCTTTATCTTAAAGAAAACTGATTCCTTAATTGTGGTGGAGACTTAAATCAGGGGAAGGTTTTGATGTGGGGAAAGTGCCTGCAGCTTTGTCACCTCATGCATCACGATGACTGAGGACACTGTGCTCACCACTTGGAAGACTCAGGCTATAGTAAAAGCTCTTTAAGAACACATTGGGATTAATGACAGTGATATCACAGCTGTGACAAAATCAGCTCTAGAAAAAATACTGAGCTGAAAACCCTACCACACATTGTACTATCGCCGCTTCACAGAAGGCTCTGGGAGAAATCTCTCAGCTTGGATTTCATCAGCCTACACAGGCACCAAACTCACCTAGGACTTTCCCAAGATAACACATGTCTAATTTTTCCTAAGGGAAGGCCACTGCTCCTAGGATTGCCTCTCTGGAGCACTCTTGGCTCTCTGCCCATGCCCTGGAGCCAGGCCGGCAGGGGAACAGCTGTCCTCAATGCATGGCTTACTGTCATGCCCATTCTTGCCAGAACTACACGGAGCATGAGCCAGGTTATGTGAGATGTTGGGGCTGAAGTGAGAGTCAAACCTTCTGGTTAAGGAGTCTCAAAGGCAATGCTTGGGCCTGAAGTGGGCAAAGTAAGGTCAGTCAAGAGCAGTTTCTGGTAGTGGAGTGGGTCTCTTAATCTCAGACCACTCTGGAAAAAACCTGAAGGTGGTTCTGTCGCCCTGTGTAGAATAAGAAGCTGAAGCCATCCTTCTGAGAGCCTACAAAGGAAACATTATTGCTGCTCTGAAAGTAACAGGCTACCACTTCCTATTGACTGCAGTATCTGTTTTGGTTGCTAGAATCTTGATTTGCATTGAGTGACTATCTCAAATATTGAGTTTTAAGTATTTCCAATTGGTAAAATCCTAGCAACTAGGGCTGTTACTGTAGGGAAATAGTCATTACACCGGATTTCAGAGAAAAACTGATTCTTCTACTTTCTGTGACTGATAACAGTGCATTTATAACGGCAAATGTGACAATGTATCAGTGTATCAAATCATCACATCATAAACTTAGATATATGCAATTTTATCTGTCATGTATACCTCAGTAAAGCTGGAAAAATAAAGCTGTTTATTTCCCTAGCAAAAAAAGTATGTGTGAATTCATTTTTCCTCTGAATAGAAAAAAATAAACAACTTACTGATTGACTCCAAAGCTCACTAACTCAACCCAACATGCAATATTCTACATTGCCTGCTCATATTCTTAGTTCATAAGGAAAGCTGGCTTAGCATGTCAAGGCCAAACACAAAACTGAACAGAATTATCAAAAGTAGTTCATTTATTTTTAAGTCTAAGATGTGAAGTCAGCCTTACCCGCTGCACCCGATGACTTTATTGTACAGGTAGGATGGCAGCCCTTTCAGGTGAATGTTGTTATCCACGTACACATACTGTAGTTCTCGAGATCGACCTAGATCTGAGATAGAAAAGAAAGTGCTGTGATTCCTTTCAATAGGCACCATGATGAAGTGAAATGTAAGATATTAAAAAATTTCTATTCTGGAAGAAACAGTGCTGTAGATTTAACTCTGACTGTGAAATGATGTCAGCTGCAATAGACTGCCTCAGAAAATGGGGCTGTAGAAAAACTACTTAACCAACCTAGGCTTTGATTTCTTAGACTGTAAGGCGAAATCACTGGCATTAGAATATTAATGTATTTCCTTTCCACAGAAAGATTCTTTGACAGTTTATAGGTAATTGCAAGTTAAGGATAAGTTTGCTGTAGGTGATTTGTTTTTGTTTTTCAACATAGAAAATGTTACACAAAGTAAGGTGACAGCTCAGCTTAAGTGTGCCCACTTCTGCCTGTTGGTGACAATTCTTTGCTTGGCAAACTTTAGCCAGGCCCCTGAACCTTCTTGTAGGTTGATCTGTGTACCTCCTTGTAAAATCCAGTTTTAACAAAGAACTCTGCTATGTCAGGTTAGCAAGAAACTCCCTTCCCCACAGCTGACTGCCTATAATACGTGATGAGGTTCCTCACCCTTCACCGTCTCTTGGGTGATGTATGATCTGCCCATCTGAAGCAAGAATCTTGTTAGGTCATTTAAACCAGAATCTCCTTTACCCTCTCAGTAATTTTCCATCCACTGACTCCCACTACCCTACTCTTCGACCGTAAATTCCCATTTGCCCATGCTATATTCTGAGTTGACCCAAAATCTCTCTACTACTGCAAGACTTCAATGCCATGGCTCCTGTACCTATTTCAATGGTCATTAATAAAGTCTACCTTAGTGCGCTTTAAAGTGTCACCAAAACATTTTTTTTCTTCAAAAAAATCTATATATCAAGATTTTCTAAGTCTCATCTAAAGGCGGCAGAAAGACTGGAAGCAGGTGAGGGAGGACTAGAGTCTTAGGAGCCAAGTAGATGTGGGAATGGACCCAGCTTCCTTGTAGCTACAGGACAAGGAACAAGGGGAGCACAGCCTAAGTCCCAGTCCCCAGGGAGGGATGAAGATGGCGCTGACAATATGATGGGTCAGTGAGCAGGGGCGGGAATGAGCAAAGGGGAGACAGGGTCTGCAACAGGAACAGGTGTGCCAGAACCCAGACACCTACTTCCCAGGGGTGGCCAGGCAATAGGGGAGCAAAGGCTAGAAGAGGGTTCAGTGAGGAAGTAAGACCCTACATGCCGAGCGAGGGCCATCTCCAGCCAGTAAGCCTCCCAGACCAAGTCTCCAGGCCATCCCCACCCATGTGTACCACGATTTATGGCCAACTCTGGTTTCCACCCCTAGCACTCACAGAGCAGGGCTGTTTGTCTTTACTGTCACAGAGGCATACAAGAGTTCTGGGCAGCCTTGCTGACCCTCTGCCTCCAAAAGCAAGAGCATCGTCTTTGAAAGGTTGTCTTGAGTCCTACTTGTAAACATAGGAAACAGGCAGAAAGAGATCTCTTCTTCCTAGACATTCCATGGTCCAGGAAAGAGAAAAGCTCAAGCACTGGTAAGTGAGGAGGTCCTTAGATACACTTACAACCCAAAAGATGAGCCATGTACCCATTAAGGACCTTTTAGGCACCACATTAGGCCTTGGGAACATAGATATGAATATCGCATTAATGGATGGGAACACAGACATGAAAAGTGATAACTGCAACACGGTGTGATCGTTGCTATTCGAGAGGCTTGTGTAAGGTCTACAGCTTGCAGATGGGTTCTACACAAAGTGAGAGGCGGGGAATACAAGGCTGAGGTGAGGAAGGACCCCTGGGGGAGAAGATGAAGAAGAGCTAACCTCACCCCTCCTCTCCACTCCTAGTCCTGTTACAAGAGTCCTTCCCAGGACTAGCACTGGAGAAAGTTACAAAAAGAAGCTAAGACTGGGAGCACAAGAACAGGCCACAAAAGGTGAGGTGGTGGCTCTCTGGGAGATAAGGAAAGAAGGGGGTACCAGCTAGAGTTCCTGGTACAGTGGTTTTACAGCATCTAACGGAAGGAAGAAGTGATGGGTGTGATTGCAAAGCCTAAGTCACAAGAGGAACTGTGGTGTCCCCCCTCCTCTCTCTGGGACCACTCATTCTGGAGCAAGATGAGTCCCTTGTTACACGGGCACTTCCACAGTCTTAAAGAGAGATGTGTGTGAGCATCCATAGGTAGCTTTCCATACCCCGAGCCAAGCCTGTAGATGACTCCAGCCCCAAGACTATGTAAATATCCCATTCTTCCTCAAAATTTTGTCCACTAATTCTAGCCCTCATTCATGGATCTTGTCTGCGACATTACACAGTTTTTATCTAATAGTGATTTTCTATTTTCCTTTTTCTGGCTACATTTATTAATTGGAATTCTTCTATTAGAAGGAGCTATCCCTTGTCTCTCATTTATTTGATTTTTATGTTAATATAATTCACGGATATTTACTTTATTGTAAAGGAGTAAAGGCCAAATGCTAACATCATTTACCTTGTTGGTCAAAATGTTGTGGGTTTTTTTTGGCATCAGGGATCGAACTCGGGACCTTATGCTTGCGAGACAGATGGCAGCAAAATGTTTGTTTTTACAATTAGGAGCAACTTTGGGTTGGCTACTGCGTTCTTTCAACAAGTCCTCATCCTTTTTGACTATTTCCAGACTTTCTGGTACCAGACTATACTGCACACTCAGCTTATAGTTTCTCTGCCAAAGCCTTGTAATCAACTACTTCTCTAAGGAGCCATAGTTCCTTTTGCTGGAGTATGGTGTTTAGAAACCATGATCCGAGAGCTAGATGTGCTCGTTACTGCTGGGTGTCATCACTTCAGGGCTCTTGGATCTAGGGAACGTGTGCATACTAGAACCTGTACATGTAGTATTTCTATCCTTGGAGGGGTGTCTTCAGCATAGATTCCTAGAAGTGAGCTTGCTAGCTTGGGAAGTAAGAACACGTGTAACTTCTTCAACATTGCCAGAATTTCTTTTGGAAGGATTATACCAATCTGCATTCCTACCAGCTGTGTATGAGAACATCTGCTTCCTGTAGGAAGCAGAATATGCTGGTGTATTAAAAAAAATTTTCTTGCCATTCTGGTAGGCAAGAAATGGTACCTCAGCATTGTTTTAATCTGCATTATTCTAAATAAACATTTAAAAATATGCATGAAAGGGATTTTTTTAACAGATTTTTTTGTGAACTGTTGTTTTTGTTGTGAACTGTTCACATATTCCCCATTTTTGTATCAGGTTTTTGGTATGTGGGGCCTTTACTTTTTAGGACAATAGCCCCATATCTGTGGTATATGTTATAAATGTTTTCTCGAGTGCCATGTGTCATTTGACTTTGTGATTTTTTTGTCAGGCAAAATATTTTAAAAGTCTGTTTGCAAAATTTGTCACTTTTTTACTGCTTCTAGATTAAAAAAAAATATTCCAAAGCTTTGCTCTGTAACAACAAAAGTTAAAGCAGAATTCATTTATGTATTCTTTTGTGCTTGTGTATGTTTCATTTTTCTTTTGTTTTCTAAAATTTAGGTTCTTATTTCATTTGGAATTTATTCCTATGCATGATATAAAACCTATGCCAAAATATTTTTTCCATTTGGTGATCCAGCCATCTGAGCTTCATTTATGAACTTTTTAGTTCACCTTTACCATCTAAACACTGAAAAAAAAAATTCATAAGACTACAAGAGAAAATATTTATAAATTACACAGATTCCAGAAGAAAATAAATGTGTTGTTCAATCATGCTGCAAACGTGTAAAAAATAAAAAAAGGCACTAATCCATAAAAGGGCACAATGGGGCCGGGGATTTAGCTCAGTGGTTTCGCCGCCTGCTGCGCAAGTACAAGGAACAGAGTTCGATCCCCGGTACCAAAAAAACAAAAAAGGGCACATCATTAGAAAATTAGTACACTGTGGGGAGTAAGAGAGCCACAGTGTCTGTGCTGTCACCAGCCATCCGAGCAAAGCCTCGCACTCACGTGTGTTAAGCAGCATGGTCCCTCAGTGCCAGGTCCCTCAGCTTTATTAGGATTGCTGAATGCAAAAGCAATCTATGAAGTTTAAATGACTATACAATGTGTTTCAAGCATCACAATATAGAATTACCAAAATATTGGATACTGCTATTCTAGCAAACTAAAAAGCTGAACACATTTATAAAACAAAACATAGATGGGAAAAACACAGATAAATACCAGAATCCACTTGCAATAGAAAAGGCCTCAAAATTACACTTAGAATTCCTACTTTAAATTTCTTCACTACTCTGATACACAAATTTTAAGCACAAAGAAAAATTTGCAGACTTTAAAGGCATATAGAAAACTTCCGAATTTTTTTTAAGAAATGAAAATTACATTGATAAAATCCAAATGATCTCTGGTCTCAGATTTACCTTTCAGAGCCCTTAGGAAGCCAGCTCAAGGTAAGCTAAGGAAAGATTCTTTACTTGGGCTTATACATCAGTAAGGAGTGTAGCGTACTAATTAAGAAAGCAAGAACAGAGACTTAGGGTCAGACAATCTGGGTTTGAATCCTCATTCTTCTACATACTATGTATATGGTCTTAGTTTCTTATCTGTATATAGGGGAAATAAAGCTGTCTTTAAGGTTAGTAAGTATTACTAGCAAATTTTATAAATTATCAAGCAGAATTCTTGGCACGTAGCCTTCTCCAATGTATGGCAGTTATTATTCCCATTATTATTAGTAAGTGACACACTTGGAAGTATGGCACATAGCAGAAGGCCAATGAAGAGTGAATTCTCCTTGGCATGTAGCAAATGGTACTAGCACACTTCTATACTTTAATTGCACAGAAAAAAGTTGGAGGCTACAACCTTTGGAGTCAGTGATTCATCCCTTCAAGCCAACGACACAAAAGGGGAAATGACAGAGGAAGTACTCGCTTCTCTAATATACCACAAAAGAGCTTGTGCAAGTTAAATAGGGTGACACTCAAAGATCATACTACAAAATTATACAA